CCGATCACATAGCAGTGAAAATCACTTAGATTGGTGCCATATAAAGTATATCTTTCATACCTCTCATTGTTTAGATGCGTTTTTTTATATACGTATGTAACTCCTCTATCGATGTATGCAGATGTATTCAAAATCAGTAATCTGTCAAACTAAAATTTGCAGATGTTCATGAAAGGTATGAAGCCTTCGGCATAGCCGAAGACAGTGCTGCTGTTACTTGTTATGTTTTCTATTTTGATTTAATTTTCTTTTAGTTTTATATTTTATTGTTTTAAAAACATTTTTTAATTTCATTTTATACTTACAAACTTATTTTATATATTTTTTAATTTATAAATTTTTATACCCGGGCGCCCTGTGCACAAGGGTATATTAATTTTGTTCACATAACGGTTGTTTGTAACAGCCCAAACGAATCGAGATAGATATAGACAAATGTATACATATATGCTCAGAATGAATAGAGAAATCGATTAAGCCATGTCTGTCTGTCCGTCCGTCTGTCCGCACGTCCGTGTACACGATAACTCGAGCAAAAATTGAGATATCTCAACGAAATTTGGTATGTAGGTTTCTGTTAATCCAAGGTAGGTTGGTATTGAACACGAAATCGGACAGTAACCACGCCCACTTCCCATATAACGGTAATTTCCAGAAATACGAAAACTGCGATAGTTTAGTAACTACTGAAGATAATTCACTCAAAATTGATATTTGTAATAATTTTCAGACGAAAAATAAGAATTGTTCGTGAATGGCCCATCATATGGCATGGCAACATTCAAACCAAGTACCAATGTAAAAGTTGATGGCAACTCTGTATCTTTTTTGGCTTTTTTATTTCCTATTTTTATTGGGACTATTGTAAAATCGCCCGCTTGAATAAAACAGTGTTAAACTAACTTTTAAAAGGAGATATCGAGTTTGCTTTATTCAAAGACATAATTTGGTCCTTCGTTGCGGATTTATTGAAACCACGAGTTGCCTGACATAAGGCAATAAGAACAACAACATATTCGTATTCACAGGGTGCTCCGCTGGGCGCTAGGAATCCAGTCAAGCATAGGAACAGCGCATTGAGTTCTCCTCTGGACACTAGGCGCACATATTCATATATACAAGGTGCTCCGCGTGACACCGCCCTTAGGAATCGCTTTGGGCAAATTCGCTGCTGCGCATCGGGTGCTCCGCTGGACACTAGGCGCACATATTCATATATACAAGGTGCTCCGCGTGACACCGCCCTTAGGAATCGCTTTGGGCAAGTTCGCTGCTGCGCATCGGGTGCTCCGCTGGACACTAGGCGCACATATTCATATATACAAGGTGCTCCGCGTGACACCGCCCTTAGGAATCGCTTTGGGCAAATTCGCTGCTGCGCATCGGGTGCTCCGCTGGACACTAGGCGCACATATTCGTACATAAGGGGTGCTCCGGTGGACTCAAGCTTACATATACACATACGACGATTTGAATCTGTATAAAAGACGTTATCCAATTTCATTTTACGCATCTATTCGCAAGTAACTAGTTTTGCCACGCTTGCTCACATTGGCAACGAGTCAAGCCACGTTCAACATTTGATAATTTGTAGTTGTTTCGTAGTTGTGATTTTTGAACTTCGTCGATACATATTTATAAAGCAAGATGGCTGAAGAATTAAAAATTCTCACAACACAACGACGTCAAACAAAGGGTTCAATTACGAGGGCATTAACGTTCGCACAAAATCTTCCTGACAATTGTACCGGTGGGGAGATTGAAGCACGTATAAAAAGATTAGATGTTGTTTGGCAAGATTATCAGAAATTTACAAGGGATATTTACGCGTATGAGGGTGAAGACGGGTTTGTAGATCCTGAAGATGAATTTGCGATCTATGAAGAAAAATTACGTGCAAGCTCAAAGCATTTTTGGGGAATGGAAGCGATTGCATTCATTGACTGATGGTGATCAGTCCGACGCTTTGTCCAGATTGGCAGAGCAGCAAAATACCTTCCTACAGCGCATAAACGGTTCGCCAAGCCCAGCACCTACAAGGGATTTAGATCTCCCCAAGATCAATATTCAAGCTTTCACTGGAGCCTACAAAGACTGGCCGGCTTTTCGAGATTTGTTCGTGAGCACAATTGATTCAAGGGCAAATTTAACTGGCACACAAAAATTCCATTACTTAAAATCTTTCCTACGAGATGAGGCTGCCAATCTGGTTAAACATATCCAGATCATCGACGCTGCGTATTCTACTGCATGGGAACGACTCAGGGAGCGTTTTGAAAGGCCTCGTTACATAGTGACATCATTTATAGAAGCGTGTATGTCTCTTTCATCAGTTCCAAGTGAGAACGCTATAGGTTTGCGAAAAATTTCGGATGGTGCTAGCGAAGTCATTCGCGGTCTTGAAGCTGTTGAACAAAATGAACGCGATCATTGGCTCATACACATTCTACTAGCAAAACTTGATCCTGAATCTCGGAAAAAGTGGATAGAGAGTAGTCGAACTAGTATCAAGCCCACAGTTCAGGAATTCCTTGCATTTTTGGATTTGCGATGTGAGGAGTTAGAGCTTTCGCAACGTAAGTCTTCAACATCGTCAACCAAACCGTCGGCTGGAGGTAAGTTACATGCTTCCCAGAGTTTAGTTGCTGTCAACAATCAACAGAAGTGCCACAGTTGCAACTCAGCAGAACACACGTTAACCAAGTGCCCACAATTTGCATCACTCTCCATTGTTGAAAGACGCTCATTTGTTAAAATCAAGTCGTTGTGTTTTAATTGTTTAAAACGTGGCCACGATGCGTATAAGTGCAAATCATCATTTCGTTGTAAGGTCTGTAATCGGCGACATCATACGCTTGTTCATCAGCAGTCTGCTGAAGCTACATCGGACAATAAGTCAGCTTCAGCACCAACCGTTCCAGGAGCGGTTTCTCTGAACTCAGTTGCTAAAACCATGAATCTTTCGCATATTGGTGGCTGTCCAAGCCAATACATGCATACATCGCTCTTGCCAACTGTGGTAGCTGAGGTTCGTAATGCTAAAGGTAATTTTGTCGAATGCAGAATATTGATCGACTCTGCATCCGAACTGTCTTACGTCACTGAAAAATTTATTCAACACCTGGGCATTTCCCGGACGCCATCGCGCATTGTAATCTGTGGAATATCATCTGTAAAGGCTGATACTACACGCGGCTGTAGTATGTTGTCGTTGAAGTCACAAGTCTCGCAGCATATCTTAACTGCGAAGGTTCATATTTTAAAGCAAATCACTACACCACTGCCACGTGATAACCTTCAAACAGTTGATAAACGTTTTATCAGCAATCTCATCTTGGCGGACCCTGCTTTTGATCGCTCATCTCCTATCGACGTTTTGTTAGGAGCCGATTATGCATGGGATGCACTCACAATGGAAAAGATTCACGACTCACAAGGGAAGACCATCGCAATTTCATCAATATTCGGCTGGATTATTACATCCGCAGAATCGGTCAACGAGCGTCAATCGGTTTCATCACTTATTGCGGTTATTGACATTGACCGTTCACTTCGAAGTTTTTGGGAGATTGAAGAAGTTTACCCTGATGCAAATAACGACGCTAGCTCAATTATCGCTGAGGAAACCTTTCGCAAAACACACAGTAGGCATGTAGATGGCCGGTATGTGGTATATTTACCATTCAAGGAAGCAGAAGTCCATTTTTCGGATACCTTTCAACGCGCTTTGGCTCGTTTCAATGCAGTGGAGCGACGTCTTCAGAAGAATAGTTCACTCAAGGCACAATACATCGATTTTATGAGGCAATATGTTGAACTTGGTCACATGCGTAAACTACTTCACACTGAAATAGAAGTTAAAAAGTCAAGTCTTTTACATGCCACATCATCTTGTAGTTACTACAAAGTTACGTGCTGTATTCGATGGCTCGTTTGAGGACACAAATGGGGTCTCGTTAAATAGCAAACTTCATGTGGGACCTTCCATACAGCGCAATTTAATTTCGGTTTGTATGCGCTTTCGGTTCCATCGCTTCGTTTTTTCGGCCGACGTTGTTAAAATGTTTAGGCAAATCTGGGTGGTAGAGCAGCATCGCAACTTTCAGCGCATACTTTGGAGGGAAGATCCAAGTGACCAATTGAATCATTATCAGCTTTGTACAGTCACTTATGGCACGTCGTCTGCTCCCTTCCTTGCGGTGCGTGTCCTTGAACAATTGGCCGAAGACTACAAAATGCAATATCTAGTCGCCGCTAAAGTGTTGCTTGAGGACTTCTATGTGGACGACGTCCTCACAGGTGCGGAGTCTGAAGCTGAACTAACTGCCGTTCGAGATCAACTAGTCCAGCTGCTGTCATGTGCTGGGCTGGAATTGCGTAAATGGGCATCCAATTCTAGGGGCATCGTTGAGGAGTGCAGCGGTGTTTGCGATCCGAGGTTCTTGACACAATCGGGTGATGGATCGACAAAGGTTTTGGGCATATACTGGAATACCAACGTCGACACAATAAGGTATACGGTAAATTTGAATTCACACATCAATGCTACAAAACGACATGTTCTTTCCGATGCGGCGAAAATATTTGATCCCTTGGGACTTGTAGCTCCAGTCGTTATACAATTCAAGATTCTATTTCAAGAGCTGTGGCTACACAACCTGAGATGGGATGACGAACTACCTAATAATCTTGCAGATCTATGGTTTAAGTACAGGCAGGATTTGTACAATCTTTCTAACCTAGTAATTAATCGGTACGTCTGCAACTCTACAAGCGTTATTGAGTTGCATGGGTTTTCCGATGCGTCTACAAAGGCTTACGCAGCAGTGGTTTATTGTCGCAGAAAAGACAAATATGGAAAGCTACATACGTCAATTATCGCCGCGAAAACTCGGGTCTCACCAATAAAGCAAATTTCTTTACCGAGGTTGGAGCTATGTGGCGCAGTGTTACTAACACGCCTGATGAGATCTGTGGTGGAGTCTTTCGCAGGTAAAAACTTTAGTTTAAACGCATGGTGTGATTCAACTGTGGTGCTCTCTTGGCTCTCAATACATCCAATCAAGCTTAAAACATTTGTCGCAAATCGTACATCGGAAATACTAAGCACCTTGCCGCGCAACTGTTGGAGACACGTATCTTCAAAGGATAACCCTGCAGATTGCGTATCTCGTGGAATGACGGCTGACAATCTCTTAAAACATGATTTGTGGTGGCAAGGGCCAACATGGCTTCTTGATGAAAACGAGTACGTGTCACTTTCTAAACAAATTTCATCGAAGGTGGATGAGCAGTCGGATGTTAGAGCTGAGCTAAAGGCTGTTACATTGGTAACTAACCAAAAGGAGCAGCACAACGTTTACAGGGATTTGGCAAATAATACTTCATCCTGGTGGAGACTCGTACGGATAACATCATATACATTTCGATTCATCAATGGCTGCAAGCAAGGTAAGAAGCCCATTTACAACCATTTGACCTTTACGCAAATCAGCGAGGCTCGTACATACCTACTGAAACTAGCACAAAATCATTTTTCTTCTGACCGCAAACATCTTGAATCTCGTACTGAATTGGACAGCAGATCTAAGCTACTAAAGTTGGCGCCGTTCCTTGATAGGGATGGTCTTATTCGCGTGGGAGGGAGGATTTGCAACTCCGCTCTAGCAATGGAAACACGACATCCGATAATCCTGCCAAAGGAGGATCGCATAACAAATCTTATTTTAAACTACGAGCATATTCAAAACTTGCATCCAGGTGTTTCAGCTCTCTTCGTCATAGTTCGACAAAAATATTGGATATTCGGAGCCCGTAACCTTATTCGAAAGCTAACTCACGACTGCTTGAAATGTTTTCGCCAGGCACAACATACGTCATCGCAAATGATGGCAGATTTGCCAAGAGTACGCGTTAATCAGGCATTCCCATTTCAAAATTGCGGATGTGATTACGCTGGTCCTATGACTCTTCGTCGGCGCATCCAAGGTACTCAACGAAATGTATCAGTTGTTGCAGTCACAAACCCACAATGAAATTATAGCAGCCTTCTTGTCCAAAGAGGAAGTGAAATGGACGTACATACCTCCATATTCTCCGCATTGGGGTGGAATTTGGGAATCAGCAGTGCGTTCAGTAAAACTTCATATACGCCGCGTCATTGGCGACACTATCCTGACATTTGAGCAGATGCACACTTTGCTAGCCCAAATTGAGGCCGTCGTAAACTCGAGACCATTGGGTGTCGCTCCAGACTCAGATGACATGTACCTCTCTCCATCTCATTTTCTAATAGGTCGGCCATACACCATGGTGGCGGAAGCAGATGTGTCGGAGGTTCCCGTGAACCGATTAAAATACTGGCAGCACATTCAAAACATGTACAAGGGTTTTGGAAACGTTGGCACATGGAATATCTGACATCGCTCCAGAGCCGACCGAAATGGTACCGCAAGCATCAGAACATAGCAATTGGAAGTATTGTTCTCGTTAAAGAAGCAAATTTGCCTCCGTCGATGTGGATCTTGGGTAAGGTAACCAAAACATTTCCCGCCGCAGATGGATTGACGCGTGTTGTGAGCCTACGCACAGGTCAAGGAGAGATGACCAGACCAATCACTAAAATTGCCGTTCTACCCGTACTGTGAAACCTTGTTTCACGGCCGCCCGGGATGTTCGTGAATGGCCCATCATATTGCTATTCTTATATTTTAACTTATAACAAACGCATGGCAACATTCAAATTGATGGCAACTCTGTATCCTTTTTAGCTTTTTTATTTCCTATTTTTATTGGGACTATTGTAAAATCGCCCGCTTGAATAAAACAGTGTTAAACTAACTTTTAAAAGGAGATATCGAGTTTGCTTTATTCAAAGACAAGAATATTATAAATTTATGGAAAATGGGCGTAGCCAAGCCCACTTATGGTTACATGTGTATATCTTGGTAACCGCTGCACAGATTTCTTCCAAACTTGGCGCAGTTGTTGGCCTTGATACAGCATACTAAATGGCCGAAAATTTTAAAAATGGGACAATAACCACGCCCACATTCCATATAAAGGTAATTTTCGGAAATACGAAAACTGCGATATTTTAGTAACTACTGAAGATTATTCACTCAAAATTGATATCTACAACAATTTTAAGACGAAAAATAAGAATATTATAAATTTTTGGAAAATGGGCGTAGCCACGCCCACTTATGGTTACATATGTATATCTTGGTAACCGCTGCACCAATTTCTTCCAAGCTCCTCACAGTTGTTGGCCTGATACAGCATACTAAATGGCCGAAAATTTAAAAAATCGGACAATAACCACGCCCACTTCCCATATAACGGTACTTTAGAGAAATACAAAATCTTCGATAAATCAGTAAATATTGAAGCTAATTTATTCAAAATTGATGCTTGCAACAATTCTTTACCAAGAAATACGTTTATGATCAAATTTTGGAAAATAGGCGTGGCACCGCCCACTTATGATCACATATAAGTATATCGGTAACCGTTCTACCAATTTGTACCAAACTCGGTGTGGTTATTGTGCTTGCCACATATAAGCAAAACATTGAAAATTATTGAAATCGGACTAAAATAACGGCCGCTTCTCATATAACGGTAAATTTCAGAAATGCTTGAAACTTCAATATTTCGAAATTGAAGGACGCTAACTTACTCAAAATTGATACACCCGGCTTACCATCTAGCGGAAGGTTTCGGAAAGGTGAAAAAACATATATTTAATACTTGCGCCGGGTATTTAATGTTCGGCTCCGCCCGAACTTAGACTTTCTTACTTGTTTATTTTGTTTTTATTTGTTTTTCTTTGAAATTTTAGTTTCTATTGTGTTAAAAAAAAATATATATATTTTTTTCAATTTCATTCACTTTTTAAAAATCTTATTGCTAAAACACAAACAGAATAACGCTAAAGCCTCCTCGTTAGCAGATCTTTCAAGATAGTTGCCAAAATTGATAATTGTCTTACTAAAGACTATTGTCTTTTGAAGGACTATTGTGAGTTGAAAGACAGACGCCAGAGTGTTTTAAAGACTCGTGGTATTCAATACTTGAAAATAAATTCTTTCTAGTTGCCGCTTACCCTTTGAGTAAAATCAGATTAGCTAGTATTTGCAAAACGGCTAACTACGAGTTGAGTGAAAAAGTCAATCTGACACATAAATTCTAACATACTTACGTACACTATCACAAACTATTTCCGCCACTCAATTAAAATACAAACAAAATAACATTAAGACATGCAGCGAAATGAGGTGAGGCTAGGTGAACACCATACACCGGTGGACAAGAGGACGCAGCGACAGTCACAACAATCAAAAGTCACTAAAATGCCACAATTGCCACATTTGCTGTTTGCAACACGCCCGTGATTAAATTTTGCTTTTTTGTGACCGACCGATGCCGACCGCCACCAGCTATTGAAGTGCTGTTGCCACTTTTGGCATTGCTTAAATTGGATTCCTTTACCCTGTCTCCTGTATACCTGTATGGTTGTGTTACTAGTGCGGATTGATAAAAAGTGAGCAAAGTGCAAAGTGAAAGAAATGCTCGAAAAATGACATTTCACCATAATTCAATTCATTTGTGCGCACATTTTGCCGTCAAACAAATGAAGATCACATCAAATGTTTGAATTGGTTTTTTTTTAGCAAATGTTGGTTATTTTAAGAGACCAATTGCCAATTGGCAATTTGACGCTGTCGACGGCATGGCTGCTTTTGTACTAGTTGATTTTGGATATTACAAAAAAAAACAAGTGGAAAACTAATTGATTTCATTGGCTGCTTTTGATGACACTCAAATAGCTGAAAGACACAATAACAAATTCGATTCTGATAGAAGGTAATTAAAATTGATGCTTCGGTAATTAATCGGAAAGTAAGTATTGCAAATGCAATATTACCATTCAAATACATATTTGCTTCATTTCGATAAATGTTGCATTAAGTTATCGAAAGTGTATGAAATCATATAAATGTTCTCTCAACTCTGAGCTGGACTAGGAAAAACGACGTAAGTCTGTTATCGATGAACTCTTGTTTACCATTGTATTGGGCATAAAAGATAAAGCCAAATCCAACCATAACCGATCGTTCAACTGCTACTGTTGATCCCTTGAAATTCGCATTCGAAACAGACTCCCTGTGGTGTTTGAATACTGCTAGAAAAAAATCTTGAAATGTGTTAGTAGACATTAGGCTGGGTCGATTTTGTATGGGGGAAAATAAAAGTCATTTGACCGCATTGTAATAGTAATATTATGATGTCTTAGGTCTCAGCCAATTGTTATTGGCCACGAAAGATTAATTTAAAACTTATCTTTAGCCCGCGCAATTGAATCAAAGAGTATGAATTTTGAAAATGAAACTTTGGCTTGTAATATCTATGGAATGCGTTATTGTTATAAACAGGACGATATATCAAATTAAGGGCTATTAAATTTAGTACCTCACGTTCATTTATCATTTTTCAATAAGTCTACACGTTTTTAATATATTACCATAAAACTTACAAAAACTATAATTTTCCCTTATGAATTTTCAATTCTTCATTACTTCAGCAACCAAGTGAAAAATACAAAAAAGTGAGACGAGATTTATTTCAAACCTTTTAATGTTTTCGGATGTTTATATAATATTAAAATGACCATGGACTTGGTCACGCCGATTTGGTCAGTTTTCAAGATCGTGGTGAATGAACGTATTGTCAAAGATTAGGAATCGTTCGACAAGTTAATAGTAGTTTCAAACATGTAAGTATTTACATACATTACAATTAGGGTGAGAAACGCCCATTTTAAGTCCATTTTTGCAGTCTTGAAAACTGGTGTGGAATGGTTTCATTAGTCGCAGCAGAAGCACACTTTTCGCGGTTTCTAAATTTGCAGTGATATGAAGGTAAGGGACGTGCAATAAGTGTTTTGATATACATAAATATTTTAGTTAATTCCATTATGTGAAAAAGTG